CCGAGGACCTGGGTGAGTCCACAGGACCCCTGGGGATGTAAATGAGGCCCCGGGGTAGCGTGAGACTTATTTTCGGCAAATGAGACGCCCCAAAAACAGAGTCCTCCCGTGGCCATCGAAATGTGGCCTAGACTGTCTCTTTCTGTAACCATAGAGACGGGTGCGGGGTGTTCTCTCCAGCACAGCAAGGCACCTCTATGGCTAAAGAGTACACTCTAGGCAGGGTGGGAAAGGCATGCTGGGAACTCTGTGGTCTCCCAGCATGCTTTTGCAGTGTCGTGACCATAGAGTTGCCGCCTAGCGCGCCCCCGGGTGGCGAGTCCTCCCCTGCGGCGCTCAGGGGGCTGGGACCCCCGGGGCTGGGGCCGGGACCCCCGGAGCTAGGCCCGGCCGGGGACTCCTGCCCCCCACAGAGCGGGCTGGGGGTCCAGGGGGCAGTGGGGAGGGCTGGGCCCCCTGGCTGGCAAAATCAGCATGGCTTTTCTGTGTTTTTATGATATACAGAGAAACTCTGAAAGTTTCCTTTCCTTTTTTGTGAGCTTTTTTTTAGCTGATACATCCTCAGAACGTAAAAGACTAACTTAAGGAAAGTGACCCTTAGCTCTGGAAACAGAAGGTTTGTCACTCTAGCACTGAAACTAAGCTTGGCCTCAGTTGGTTCAGGCATGGCATCATGCTAATGCAACTGTACTGCTTTCTATGCTGAGATAATACCTTTGTATTAGGGTTCCCTGTATTGTACAGATGTACTGGCTAAGGTTGATGCTAAGTCCAGCTCTTGGCAGTTCTCGCCACTGAACAGAAAAAACCTGACTTTACCTTCTAGATTCATGTTGTTGTTTTTGAGTATTTTCTTCAGAAAAATCAAAATGAACTCCTATCTTGGAACCTAAGTGAAATGGAACTTAAGTGAAACCCAAATGATTCAGAAATAAGAGATGAGCTGGGAGTGTCTAAGGAGGGTCCCTAGAACTCCTGTGGTTGCCAGGTCTTGGCTCAGAAAAATAGCGTGCTTTTGACAGCCACATATACCTTCTGGGCATACAGAAGGTGAACTGGATCACTCAATGGCATTCCATTTCCCACCATGGACTCTAATATAAGTACCCAAGGGAGCAGTTTTCAAGGATGAAGACTGCAGGCTTAAGCTGTAGCTTATCACCTATTTTTCTTTACCTTATGGCTGGTAAACGTCAGTATCACCAGGTGACACTGCCCTGCCTCTGAAACGTCCTACATCTGCTGTCCTGAAACCCTTCGTGAGAATAGGTTTTAGCAGTGGATGAGGGCAGAGAGAACCTGTAAAAGAGTGGGAAAGAATAAATATATCAGTTCCATGAGTCATGCTGTCCCTACAGAGCTGTGTGATTAGTTGGATTCTCTGATGTCTACTAAGAGATGAACTTGGATTACAATTTCTCCCAGACTTGATGCATTTTTAAGTGTCTACGTTACCTGATAAGGACTGAGCTATTGCTGCAGCCTTTCTATTCAGTTGAATACAAATAGAATTTCTATCCTCCGCCCTGCTGCCTATTTTCATTAAACTTTGAGGTATTTGATATCTAAGACTTCTACCATGCTACTCTGCCTTTAAATTTGGTTTAAATCGGTCAAGACGTTCAAATACTATTTCACGGCGAGAGTGAGATCACACAGACAAAAACATACTTGTAAATATATTTATATATCTACAGATACACGGATATACTGAGTATTATTATACTGATATATTGATTAAGCTGACCAATACGCTTGTTGCCTTACATAAGCCCTGGCGGTTGCATGGAGCAAGGAAAAGGGCAGGACTCGCTGCCTGCCTGGGGAAAGCCTGTGTGCCGTCACTATGTCCCTATCAGGGCTCTGCTCTTGCCTTTGAACAACAGTGTTTTGGGGTACATGGGGAAGACCTCATATTGTTCGAGAGCTGCTGGGGTCCCGGGGACAGGTGCTGGGTTGTGCCCTAGCTCTGCCCCCCTTGCAGCCCCTCCATCTTCCCTTGCAGGGAGTGTTTCCCTGGGGTCGCTCTCCGGCACAGTCTCTTTGGAGTCGTATTCGGGAGTCTGCCAGTCCCCGTTCCTTGATAACAGGTATGTGGGGGGGGCCGGGGGAGCTGGGATGCTGGGGCTGATCCTGTGGGACTCCTCTTTCCCCACGCCCTGCCAGCCCGTGACACCCTCTGCCCCCATGCAGGGAGCGGAGTGGCTTTTTCAGCCCGGACCACTGCGAGCCCCAGAGCCCCTGGGCCAGCAGCTCGGCCGCCACCACCCCCTCGACACCCACGACGCCCACCACGGAGGGCGAGGGTGATGGCTTGTCCTACAACCAGCGCAGCCTGCAGCGCTGGGAGAAGGACGAGGAGCTGGGCGAGCTCTCCACCATCTCGCCCGTGCTCTACGCCAACATGAACTTCCCCAACCTCAAGCAGGATTATCCAGGTAGGGCCCTGGTGGGGGACCTTGGCTGCCCTGTCTGGGGTGGCTGGAGCCGGGGATGGAGATGGGTGCAACGTAACACACCTGGTGTTTGGAGGAGAAGCTCCATCTGCTGTAGCATGGGGTTTGCCACAGGCTGAGATGCTCCTTGCAGCAATTGGGGGCACTGGGTGCAGGCTCCTTGGCATGGGCCATCCACTAATGTGCCCAGGAGCAGCCACCTGCCTGGAGCCAGGGAGGCTCATAAGGCACGGACTAATGCGCCTTTTCTCTCTGCTCCGTTTGTTCCCACTGGACTCGCAGACTGGTCCAGCCGCTGCAAACAGATCATGAAGCTCTGGAGAAAGGTCCCTGCCGCAGACAAAGCCCCCTACTTGGTGAGTGTCTGGGCATCGCCAGGGTGGGGAAAGATATGGACGTCTGGGGCTGCAAGTCAACTGGCTTTGTGTTTCTGTTAGCAAAAGGCCAAAGATAACCGGGCAGCTCATCGCATCAACAAGGTGCAGAAGGTATGTGCTGGAGAGGCGAGTTGCCAGGCGGTCCCGGGGCCCCAGGATGCTTTCCCAGCCCTGGGCAACCTGCAGCCCTCAGCTCCTGTCCCATTAAGCCTTTCCCAAGCCCACAGGGAAGGAACGCTTGGGTTTCCGTAGTCCCCTGTGGCCCTGATGCCCTGGCTCTCTCTGCAGCAGGCTGAAAGCCAGATCAACAAGCAGACCAAAGGGGAGGGACTGCGCAAACCCGAGAGGCCCTCGCTGCACCTGCGGATCCCAGTGCCGCCGGGGGCACAGCCCGT